AGTGCAGCATTTAAACTAACCAATATTTTGATTGCAATCATATGTTAAAGAAATCTTTAACACACATGATCATTAAACAGTTGGTCCGCTGTATAATGTTGCATAATGAAGTGTCATAGCATTATTCACTTATCTAAATTAATTTAGGTTACTATATGATGAAATAGAGCAGACTCAAAACCCCATAGATAGAACCAATATTTTGACGTACATAAGTATAAATAATGTGAAGTTATTTGAAATGTGAATCTTACCAACAATAATTGTGGAGAGGTTATAAATAGTTGTTACTTTATAGAGAAAGGAAAATAATGTACTTATTTTTTTCATCACAATCTTGGTTGTATACTTATCACATACAGAACTTTGACTTAGTCAGATTTTTTTTTTCAGGTGTTAAGTCTGAGCATGAAGGAAAACCATCATCTCATCTTATTTATTTTAACGTCTAGAAGATACTTTATTCCTTTATGGAAGAAAGTGATGCAAGTTAGGTTACTTCTCTCTTTAAACTTGTGAGGAGTCTGCCCTGTGTCATTGGGATTAGTAATTGCTATGTTTATTTTAATGTGATAGAATGGCAGATACACAAGCAGAATCTGGAAGTTCCTTGTTAGGGAATCAAGAAAATACAGAAATTGTAGTAAAAAAAGAGAAACCAGATGTTTCCTTTAAGTCTCCAAATGAGAGTAAGAACAACAAAATTTTTGCAAACAATCAGATATCCTTGCCACCTTCTTATCTTCCTAGTTCAAAAAACCCCCAGAATACTACAGATCAACAATTGAAAGCTACAAAGAATGCTCATGCACAAGTTCAACTGCAGTTAGAAAATAAAGAACTTGTGTCACCTCCCATAGATATCTCTAGCATCCAAGGAATTTTTGGGTGGACAACAATTGGGGGTGTTCATTTGCCCTTCATTTTACGAGGACAGGATAAATTTATTGCTGTGAGAATGGTTGAAGCAAAGGTAGTGAGCAAATACTCTCGAGTTTTGCCGTGGGTAGTTTTTACTTGTACAAATATCAAAAGTTACTTTATAACAGAAAATGAAGCCAGACTTCTTAATGAAATAAATGGATTTCATTGTGCTTTTCAGTTTGGACAAAAGACTTTTACATCTAAAGATGTTGTTGTTTGTTTATCTGAAATATTATGTTTTCATGAGTTCCTTGAGACTTGTCGTAGTAAGCTATTTCCTGTGTCTGGTGACAGGCTTTTGGCTAAGAAATGTGGTTTGATAATGATGAATAACATTGTTTTACCCTACATTGATAAAAATGGATCAAAGTATGTTCCATTTACTATGCTACCAAATGGTGTATTAGCTGATGCTTCAAGAAATGTAAATGATTGGGACCTAGCTTATCTGTATTTTTTGTGTCATGTTGCTCAGCTTAACAAGACCAAGTTAAAGAGGGGTACCTATCTAGTTAGTGTGGATAAACTATTTTTTTCATCTGGTCAGGTACCAGTGATGCAGGAATGGTGGCCCAAAACACCCTTACTTCATATAAACAATGGGCACATGTCTCCTTCACCTTCCCCAGATAGTATTCAAAGAATTTGGAATGTGTCTGTGTTTCCTGATCAGGTTACTAGGCAGACAGTAAACAAATATGTTGAACAACAAGAAATTCAACAGTTACAGGTGCAGACTTCTAATAGCAGTAAAGAAAGTTTAGAAGAAAATAGACTTTTATCACCATTTTACATAGGTCATCATGGTGCACCAGTGAGACAAGCAACTTCTCCAAAAGTCAATGGTGCTATACATGATGGCTTTCAGGTTGTTGATAATAGAGGACAACCAATTCCAACTACTAGTATATTAAGGGGGCATGTACCAGCTGTACCAGCAAGTGGCTACCTTGTTCCCCCTCCTGGAAGTTTACTGAACCACTTAGATTCTCCATCATTATCCAGTTCTTCAAGTCATGAAATACCAATGTTTCCATCTCTAAATGGTTCATCAGGTACTTACCCAGTTAACAGTTCACAAATGTTGCTTAACTTACATAGTCACCAGTTAGGAGGGCATCAGGTTTTCTCACCACAGCCAGTCACAGCCAGTCTTGTCCAGCAAAATATGTTTGGAAACTTGGTAAAACCAGGAAACCATTCCTCTGTATTTCATCAGAGACATCAGGACAGTTTACCAGATTTACATCAAAGACAAGATAGTCTACCAGAACCACCTCCTTTGATTCTTGATGTCAACTGCCAATTGAATGGGGGAGGAAACTCCTTGAGAGGTAGTCACTCTGTAAGAAATGCAAGTGTATCAAACAGTGCTTTGCGCCATGCTCTTCAGACATCTCCACTTTCTTCTGTGTCAGAAGCTGCTAGCAACATGGTACTTTCCAGCTTGAGTGAAAATGATTCTATGAACAATCATTCAGAAGCAGAATTAAAGAATCTGAGAAGTCCCACTTCGTATGGTTCGAGTATGCCTCCTCCACATTACCCAACCCCCCCTCAATCAACTCCAACACATCCAAGCATTTCATCTCCATTACTCCTGACACATCAACAGAACAGAGCAACAAGCAATGCAACTGGACTGGTAATTGATCTATGCAGCCCTCCACCCTCACCAGTAATGAGAGCAACTTCTAGTAGTCATACAAATGGACCAGTAATGTTGGAATCTTGTGGAATATCTCATGATGCAGACATCATTCACACAACACATTCCACAGATATTTCACCCTTTTCATATCAAGAAATTCATATAGAAGGAAGACAACTACCAGTGGTTAACTTGGACCTTTACCAAAATGACAAAAACTTGGCAACAAGTGTATCTGAAATGGTACATCAACTTTTCCCAAGTCTCTCTGCAACATCATGTCAGTTTGTTCTACAGAATGTTTTGGGAGTAACATTGTATGATTATAACAGGTAAGTTTTTTTCTGTTTTATTTTTTATCAATTGATAACATAATTTTGTTCTTCTAATAACTGGTGTAATAATGCAAGATGGCTTTGGGCAGTTTATCTAAAATTCTTTATGAAGGTATAATGATTTGAAAAAAGTTTATTCTTTTAAAAAATGAGATTATTCCTACTGCACTGTTGGCAATTGTATGAACTGCATTTTTCATTGAACTCTGTATCATTTAGTGCCAAAGTTGGTGCTGCTCATATATATCCCCCCCTTTTATACAACTTAATTGATTTGAATGAAATATATATAAAAAAGAATAATTATTTCATTCTTGTCACTTGCAAATCAATGCACAAGTCAGTGATATGTAAAACTATTTACGGAGAAAAGTTAGGCATATTCTTTAGCAGTTTTTTTTAACAAAGATGTTTCACTTTAATACATGTTTGCTATTTGAAATAAAAGTAATTTATAAATATAAATTTGTCTGCATAAGTAAAACAAAAGAGATCTATGACTAGACGAAGTCAGTTAACAACTTTAGGCATGAGCAACAGTTTGTTCATGAGAACAAAAAAAAGGGGGTGAAAAAAAAATCTTTTGAGTATTAAAATACCCAGAAAAATGAGTAAAGAAATGCAAAGCCAAAAGTGAGAAAAGAAAAATGCTGCTTCTTTCTTTAATGGTAAAGTAATACTGTACAGGTTAGACTAAATATAAAACTAAAGAGTGGTTATGCTATCAAAGGAGATGGCACTAGTTTCAGAATAGGTGCGCGATTATAGAAGGTGGTGTATGTTTCATACATTATTTGATGTATTATTACTAATGAATAAAGCCATCACAATTCCATACTGTGCATCTAACATAGCTTTCTCTCAGACTGGACTTGGCAGTCACCTTGTGAAACATATTTTTCCATGAACTATTATACTTCCCAGGATTTTCACCTTTTTGCAGGAAGTCAACATTTTCGATAAAGGAAGTTGTGATGTCGATGTGATCACCCATGCTCAATGATACAGCAGGGTATCACTGGAAGGAGCTGAAAATGATGTGTAGAATAATAAACTATAAGCTATGAACATTTTGATTTTTCTTGGCTCATTGGTCTTAGTAATGCAAAAATATGCATCTTGGATGCCAACTAAATTAATCGGGTAGAAAAAGTATTATGTTCATGGGGCACATAAAAATGAGAGGGTGCAATAGTGAAGTATAATGTGTGTTAACTCTTTCTAGACCAGGAGGATGTCACAGATATCCTTTGATTTGTTTCTTCTGACAACAGAAATGCTTAACCAATTTGCGTGAATACTTAAGTAGTGTCTTAATTCTGAATACATGGTTGTAGTAGTGATAATATCATTAATGATATTTTCTGTTGTATTAGTATTAAACTGTTTAACTTTTGCTTTTTGTTATTATTTATTTCTGTTCTTTAACTTGTACTTTATTTTTCTTAATTGATTTTCAATTAAATATGACTGAAAACAAAAATTAAAGATGATTCTAAGAACCCATGAGTGAAAATAAATGAAAATATGTTTGTAATTTAGTTCCAAGAATTTTGTTTTGCTTCAATTGTAGAACAAGATTTACAACTGATGCAATTCAAACTTTGATGCTCAGTATTTACTCTGTTGAAATCTGAATTCAAATTAAACAAAATGGAATCCTCAATAGCCATGGCACGTGAAATTCTTTTAGGCAGGATTAGAGTAAATGAATCTACAAGACTGTTTTTTCCTTTTTATTAGCTATATTTTTGTGCACCAGCAATACCAAGTGTGGGGTGTGTTTATACCCAATTCCATTTTATCACCCCTTTGGATCTCTTTCAGCTTATCCTCAAATTGAAATTCTTTTAGGCAGGATTAGAAAAAATTAATCTGTGAGAACTTGGGTGTGGTCAAATACATCAGTTGACAGGGTTTGACCTCCTGAGTCCAAAACTGTAATTGTGGACCTATGAGCTAAAAGTTTGTACTTGAAAAAGAAAAAAAAACTTGTTCTATAAGCTGCAATGTCATGGCTAAAAATAAATGCATGTGTTAAGAAGTGAGATTATTTTAATGAAAACCATTTCTACAACTTGTATGAATTAAACTAGATAGAATTTTGTTTTAAATTTGTAACTAAAGTAATATTTTTCAGAATTGATTAGAAAATTGTTAACATACTTTTTTTTTATGAAAATGATAGTTCTACAGTTTACAAATCAAACTCAGTACAAGTCGTTTTTAATTAGTTATTATTTTTTGTTCTGGTGAGATGTGTATGTTATTATTGGCTTTGAACAAAATCTAGTCTGGATCTACACCTATTTATAAGAAAAGATTGGCATTTCTTAAAATCAGTGAACAATATATTAAGTAACCCTCTTATTTGAATTGCAATGAAATTAGTAAAAATCATACAGGTATTGACTTCTAAAAACTTGCAGGTAAATGAATCACTGGTATAATTTATCATAGGGTGCATGGCAAAGTGTAAGTCTTGACTGCTATGTTGTTCAAAATTATCTCCTTTTAATAGCTGTCAGATTCAAGTCAAAAGTTATTGAGCTATATATGGTCATTTTGTGCAAATAAATGGTAGTTACATATTTGAATGTAACTTCTGAAAGATGGAAACACATTGCTTGGTTTGTGAGTTTTGGAACAAATGGACAAAAAAGCTAGGTATATCACTGCTGGTTATTAAAGATTACTGAGGATATCCAACTAATCTGGTCAGGTGTCAGTGATCTTCAGCTTTTCTACTTTGATAATTAATTTTATAGTAAAAGAACTATATGGTAATTTATTTGTTAGATAAAATAAAGAATCATGTACTGTTGGAAATGTGTATTGTGATCTTGAATTATGAGGAACATGTAGTGCTTATTTTGATACTCTGATCACTACCACAAACAACCTGAAAAGTTATGGATTTCCTTTAATTCTCAGAATGTTACTTGAAAATGGAAGTTCTCAACAGCAACAAAGAAAGCAGTTTTTTACTTTGGATATATTTGTTTTCTAAACCTAAATTTATCTTGATAGACTTCTCATATGTTAAAACTCAGAAATTGTTGTTGTAATGTTATTTATCTTATCACTGCAATTAATGATTATGTTGGAAACATGATTTTTTTTTTTTTTTGAGATGCCCTGATGATCATAAGAACCATCGCTAACAGTAGGCATAAGAAAATAAAGGGTAGTTATTGTGTTGTTTTTATTGTTCCAGCTGAAAACATGAGTGGACCTCCTAAGAATATTATATCTGAAATATTTTTATTACTTACAGGCTACAAATGGACTTGATGATGAAGCATGGAGTAAATATCTCACCTGATGACAAGTTAGTAACTGTTAAAGACTTGGAATCGTATATGCCACAACTGAAGTACATGTTTGAAAGAGGAGGACAACCAACTTCTGAGTCATCCAAACATGATGATGCCCCTCCTGCCAAACGTCATTGTTTTGATAATACAGTAAAAAGCTAGCTATGCGATAAATGTAAATAGTTGTAGATATATATATGTACATATATAAATACCTAACCTATGTTGTCATTTACTTGTATGATTATGATAATGGGTTTATTATAAATCTACCACTATTGTAGGTAGTGTTTATGTACTGTAAAAATATTATTCTAAAAATGGAGTTACATTATCACATGAAAGCACATTTATTATGTAGATTGTAGAATCCGATTTAGATTCTCAAATAGGTCACAAATAAGAGAAAAAAATTAAAAACTATTTTAAAACTTTTAAAGTTCTGTTAACGAATCATAATTTAAGGAAAAAAAGATAACATGACACAGACTATTAATTTCAAGTAATGATTCCATTACTTTGTTTAATTTTATTGAAGGAATATTTCCATACTTTTTTTTTTTTATTAACATAATGCTATATTTCATTTTTTTCCTTCCATTGTGTTATAGTTGTCATATTTTGATTTAGTATGAAAGAGTTATGAACATAGTTGAATTTTCATGTAAAACTAGCAACTTTTTATGTATTTTTCATTCCATGTCTGTCACGTTAGTGCATAGCCTGTGATAGAGCAGCTAAAAGAGGCTTATTTATGTTGGATTGATGTGAATATAAAACATTATTAAAATGAAAATTATGATTAATAAAAAGTATATGTCTGGCAAGTTTACCCTATAATACAAGGTTCAGATTTGACTCTTGAAAAAACCAGTGTCCAGATTGACTACTGACAGAAAGTTAGCAGTAACTAAATCATCTCAATTCAGTAGCCAAAAGTAGAGTATTGGGTACTATGTAGACAGTGCCAGTTTTGGAGCTGTTTTCACAATCAGCTATAATTTTGTTTTCTCTCTCTAATAATCAGTAATATATCTACCAAAAAAGGTCCATAAACACAACTTGCTTTTATTCATTTAATAACTTATGAAACTTACTTTTGAAATAGTTTAATTACAATATGTTATAAATACATGCTTATCCAAATATGACTTAAATCGAGTTGCAATTGTCAGAACTATGGAGGGCACCATACTGTTGAGTACACAATAGCAGATTCATGCACACTAAGACTATTGCTGTTTGTCTGTTTTAATTTGAATGATGTTGACATAGCTTATGGCTGCATACAGTAATTATGTACAACTGTACATTGTGTAAAATTGATTCAAAAATTTTTACTTTCCATCTCTGCTTTATTCATTACATCACCATTGTTTTACATTAGTCAAAGGGCTAACAGAGAATTTTGTTTTCAACAAAAATGAAAAAAATTGATAGGAAATGGTGGATGTCAAGAGTGTTTAATCTGAACTGTGTCTGGGTAGTATAACATATTTTTGAAAACAAAATATTTTGTAGTAGTATTAAACATTTTAAACATGTTTCAAACCTATGGTAATCCCAAATTGCATACCTAACCCCCTCAATCTACTCTATCATATCCAAGAATTTATCTCCATTACCAACATAACCAAAACAACTGCTAATCAGAAGCACATAATAAAGTTGTTTTAATTTGACATCTAGTGGCATATCTTTAATATACTATATGAAGAACTTACCAAAGGTAGTTTCATACAACAGTAGTGCAACTTCTCACTTATAAAACTATATTTATCATAATATACAATTAATATAAATCTTGTAGAGTACCTTTCATGCATCCAAAGAAACTGTTATGAATATAAGATTTGTTGTAAGAGTGTACAAAACTTTAAAAGTCTGTTGTCAACATACCCAAAGAATCTCCATTACTTCCCATGAAAAAAAAAACTTTTTGAACACATGGGGGTTCAGTGTGAACATATTAAACCGTTTCTCACATTAAGTGTGTTATAAAGTGAACTTCATTTCTAATGTATTATTATCATCACATTTGTCTAAGTATAAAAATAAAATATGTTTTAAAACTTCCAAAACATTGGTAAATGCAGCAAAAAAACTTTCAGAAGTGTTACATAGCATTGTTAGTGAAGTATAGTATGTTGTAATAAGCCTAGTAATTTGTGTTTACTTGAAGGTACATGTAAAGGTAGCAAAGCTTTGGATTTTCAGTAAAAGGTATAATGGATCTAAAAGTGAACTTGCATGATTACTTGTTAACAAGTATACACTGTTTAAAAACATCATTTTCAATACTTCATCACTGTTTTATATTTGCCATGATTCTGATGAATGTAGCTCTTAGAAAAGCAGTCAAGATGTTTGTTCTTTTTCTGGATGAAGGTGATATGTTTGTGAACCTTTTGAATTGATACTACCAAAATCTTGTTGTCATAAGGCTTTTTTAATGTTACTGAATTTATCTAACTATGCCTTGCCAAAAAATGAGTAGAAGTACCAAAAAGTCTTAGCTGTGAACTGAATTAACATTAATGGTTTTCTTAAATTCTTTCTTTTCCAAAATCTTAGAAGAAAAGTACTACATTATTTTTTTAATTTTTACTGCATAGTAAATTTGTCAATAATTATAAAGCCTTCCCTGTATTACTAACAAGGAATTTATCAATATCACAGTAATAGGCTTGTAAAGGGTCAAAATTGACAGCAAAATATTTTGAAAAGTATGCTTCTGATAAGTTTATAAGAGGGCATTAATTTTAGTTTTTTTTTTGCTGACTTGAATTTCATGTTGATTAAAAAAAGGCATAAAAATCTTTCCTTCATCCAGTAGTGTTTACTTGCTAATAATCAAATGTTTTATCAAGACATAGATGAATGATTATTGATGTTTTCGTTTTTCATTTTTCTATAACAAAAAAGATTGTTTATTAAAAAAAATTGCAAGGCATAAAAACTATCCTTCAGTTTCATAGTTTATAATTGTATTGAATATGCTTCATTTAAGTTTTATACTTTGTGGTATATATGAAGCTTACTTTTTTGATTATTAAATTTAATAAAGTAACAAATGGTAAGACAGTACTAACTGTTAGGATTAAATCGAATTTATACCCCCCCCCCCTCAAAAATATCTTCGAATTAATGAGAGAAAAAAATCAAAAGATTTTTTTAAATACTTTCCGAAAGATAATTCATGGGATCACAGATAAGTTGCACAGCATTATTAGTAACTGCATGTAAGTTGTTGCTAACTCGTTCAATACTGGTTCTATGCCAGGGAGTTGAGGTGCATTGTAATCCTGTGTGTGTAATAGTAGGGATTTGCCATATATGATGCATCAAGTAAAAAAAGGGGGGGCAGTAACATAGTTTTGTGATCGCTATCCCAGTAACGCATAAATTGTCGCTTATGTATTGTACTTGAATAACTATCTCATATCTGTTCGTTTTTAGATGTGTACTGCATTTACTAGTTTTTTTTATTGGCATTAAAATACCTTGGTTTTGCCCAGGATGGTTCTGTTAGATTTCTTTTGTATGTTGGCTGTTGGTTTCTGTTCTAGTTTGGAAGTTGAAAAGTTTATTTTTGTTATTTATTAATTATAGTAATACAGTGGGTTCTTTCTTTCAGTCTTCCAAGCTTCTTCTGTAATAAAAAACAAAACTCATCATAACACTGACGATCTGATTATGTATATAATATACGGGATTTTGATAGGGAATGAGCAAACGATATACGAAAAACCGTCGTTATTTTGAACTTCCACTAAAACTGTGTGGTTTAAAATTTACCTTTTTCTCAAATGCACACTTGTAAACCTCGTATGTTGGAAGATGAAAATCTGAATCTTTCCAGGGCTTATAATATCAATTATTATGCTTTAAAGATTCGGAAATAAAAACAAATCCGTTTAACGAAGCAGACCATTCACAGAACTTTACCATGTGTTGTAGAAGAAGTTTGAATATCGTCAAATGAAAACAAACTGATTATTTAAGCCAGCAATCCATAAAAAAAAATGTATGATCTATCACCAAAGCATGTTGTTGTTGTTGTTATAGGTTTTTAGAAAGGTATTTATTTCCAATTCATCCCAGTATATTACATAAAGTACGAAAATCGTCCCTACTAATATATGTTTAAGGTTGTGCACATTTTCATCGGTAAATATAACTTAATATCGTGATGGGATAACTTCTAATAGCTTTTTGGAATATTTTATTAAAGAGAAATATCTTTCCACTCATAAATTGTGACTGTTCCGTTACATGAAAGTGCTTTAGAAGAGATGTTCATTCACCGATCGTAACTTGTACGAGATGGTTTTATATAAATGTGAAATACTGTACGAGTGAGCATTATTGAATTTTTTTAATTACCATAACAGCCTTTGGAGGTGTGTTTATTGAAAGTAGTTATAAGATGGAAGTGTTTATTGAAAGTAGTTATAAGATGGAACTAAAGTAGAGCACGAGTGTACATTTATTTATTATATTTTTGTCAGAGCTCTCGGTGTATATAGACATTTAAAACACGGTCTTTTACTACAAATATTTGTGTATTCTTTTGGTGTATTATTGTATTGATATTTTATTGTCATGCGTAAGCCATTCTCATTATTGTAATAATTATTATTTGTAATAAAAAGTAATGTGTGTATTATCACTGTCATTTAAACATTTATTAAGATAATAAATGGTACAAAACTTCTGAGACTAACTTTGGAAGTATCCGGACAAGATTAAGTTTAATATAAAGATGGTTCATTATATATGTGTATGTTAGCTTCTAATGAAGTCATTAGGGATTTAATAAAGAAGAAAGGAAAATATTATCTAACATTGTATTTTCTACAATTTTTTCATCCTTAATGCGTATTCTCAGCTAGTCATTATAAACTTCATAAAGGTGTTTTTCGTATTTTCTGTAAGGTATTAAAATTTGTTATGGAATCCTACTCGGACGAAAGTCATTTATCGTTATTTGGAAAATCATTATTAGATAGAAGATATGAAAGATTGTTTTACTGACTGCTTGTGGATAGGAGAGGCTGTTGAGAGCAATGCATTTGGCTCAGGTTCTATAACTGGTATGTATAACGAACTAGGAAATAAATTTAAAAAATCGCACCTTTTGTATATGAAATGTCAAATTTGTTGAAGCTTAGAGGATCTTGCAAAATGGGCTGAAAAATCTGACGTCAACCAAGAGCAAGTATATCACTAATGGAAAATGAATACTTTTTTCCAACATATTATTTTAAATGTGATATTTTCTTTGTTAAGCAACTCTACATTTTCCTTATTGTCTTGAATGAGTAAACAATATAAGTAACTACTAAGCCTTAGCCTAAAAATGGCCATTTGTGTCCTATTGGTTACCCTGCCAGACTGTGATTCTGTAGTACGCATCCAATTGCCACAAAATCGCGCTTTTGAGCAGTTGGCGTGTTATAAAAGTGACAGTTAAGACCGTTATTCGATTAGAATAGCCCAATAGTTGGCGATGGGCACTGTTGACTGGGTTCCTTCTTTCTAGTTTAACATTAGGAACAGCTAACACAGATAACCCTTATTGTGAAGTTTCTTGCGAATTTCCGAAACAACCAATCTAAAAGAAAAATTGGAAACCACTGATCTAAAAAAGACTAACATATAGTGAGATATGCTCTAGTTGAAAAAACATTCCATTTAAGTGCCTAAATTTCTAAAATAAATCAGGTGTGTTTGATTTATTATATTTAACTAAATCTCACAGATAAAAAGAGTTACTTTTTGATAAAAAAAAAGAAAGGTGTTAGAAGATGTACAACAACAATAATAAAAAACAAATTTTTAGAAAAATTTTTTAAGTTCTGTAGAAAAACAATCGTCTGCTATCAAACACTTAACTCTTCCTTTGCCACGTTTATATAGTTTGTTTGAAGTTGAGCACAAAGCTACACAATGGGCTGGCTATCTGTGCTCTGCCCACCACGGGCATCAAAACCCGGTTTCTAGAGTTGTAAGTCCGCAGACATACCGCTTTGCCACTGGGGGCTGTTTATATAGATAAACTCTTCTGTTCTTATTTTCAAATGCACAATGAGAGACATTGTGATAGGTTTTGATATTTCATTGCGTATCTGAAACTTGAAAGCTTTAAACTAGATAGGTTGAGGGTGAATACCCTTGAAATTGAGGAACAAAATTCCAGACTCGCATGAGGGTAATATCACTTTTCAAGGCTAAAATAAATGTTAAATATCTGCCATGGCAGATATATTTATCAAGTAAATTTGAATTTACCAAGCTACTCTCCAGTTTTTATGTCTGTAGGCTAGTATAGAGGATTAGGATCTGGGACTTACTCTTAATTTGGAACTACAATAGTTTATTTTTTAATTTTATGTTTACCAAATGAAACCTTTTTTTTAAAAATATGAAACAGTAGAGAAAAAACAACAAGGCAGAAACGTGGTCTTTAAAAAATACAAAGAGAAAAATCGAAAATCAACCAAGAGGATTTTGATTTGCCATATTTTGACCTATTTTTTAAATTTTAAACTCAAGGTAGAATCATTATTAAAATTGATTATTTTTTCGTAATCCACGAAGCTTTAGATATATATGACAAACACATTGATGTTTTCAAATAGTCTCGTAATTTTTAAAACCTGAAGCTTGTACGCACTCTTCTTATGTGAAAAGTTTGTTTTTCCGGAGAATTGGAAACAACTTGATTATGATTTCGCATTTCTTTTGAGTGAAATGCATTTTAACAAATTTATACACTAGTATATTAAAACAAAACTTAGCTGAAGCCAGAAAGTTAAGCTTCTTTTGTATTTACAACTGAATTCGTACATTTTTAAAAGTGGAAGTTATCAAATTACCGACACTTGAGCTGGAAACAATAAGGTCGTTTGAATTCTTCTATAACATGGGCAGTCACTGCCCAGGAACTCCATTGAGTACGGGTATATTGTCCTTGCTCCATCCCAACCGAAGCGTCCAAATAGACCCCACTTCCCGGAACTCCCTAATACAGATTCTGTTCCAAGAATATGCTGCAGACCAGGATCGCTGATCTGTAAGCTTATTGCTACTTTGTAAGAGACAAATGACTGCACCACCGATACTGGATTTACGGGATATGATTGACTCGTACAAACGGGAAATGAACAAGAAATCTAGTCTCACTCTTTGTAACATGACCTCAAAAGAATACAGAAATAGAAAAGTATTTAGGATAATAAAGTCAACATAACTGAACCGCTCTCGTTCAAAGCTATAAGATATTACGTGGTGCTTCTACTCTAATATCTGTATACAAATATGTGAAATTAAATCTATAGGCATGGAACGTTCTTCTGAAAACATAAATAACCTGTTATAAGCACTAACCATACAGACACTTCACAGTAAATAGACACCCAAATCTGAAAGAACACTAGTATATTCATAATGGGGTAATTAATAATTTGAACTATTTCTGT